TTCCAATCTTATAGGAGAAATATTAATTAAATGGAAACATTTCTCTTAGATAAGCTTCTTCTAGGTCTTACTACGATTATAATTTTCTTTTGATACATAAATCCTGACCGAAGAGTCACATATTTAGACTTCCCTTGAGGACTGAGTGCCGTTTGAGTGATATTTTATTTTTAATTTGAGCCAGCTAGAGATGGCTATAACCAGGATAGTAATTTTTCATGATTATTCTGTTGAATACCAAAATTCTCTGATACTTTCTTAGCAATTTGGAGACACAACGGGCCTTGTTGGCTTTAACACTTTTGAGTCTTGTTACAAGCTTAGTCCATCCTCAACTATGTAATAGGTACAATGTTTAAGCATTGACTTATGTATTCTGACAGTCAACCTAATGCTATATTCCCGCGTTAGATTCGCTATCTTCAGGAGAATACCTTAATCAATGGTTTAGGTCTATACCAAAACTACCAAATTTAAAAGATTCTGCCACTGTCTCGTGAGGTCGTGCTTTTTTTCGGTACTGTGAAGTGTTTGTACCTGGATCTCCTTAAGCAATTCTCTCTCTATAAATAAAATAGTTGGCGATTTTTCTCATACCTCTTGGCCACGTGAACACGTTTGGACATGGCAAACTGATGCTGGTTACCTCCATTATATTAAATAGAAATGAGCTTTTTGTCTGTGGTACTAATTCCACAAGTACTGATTTCAAATAACAGTGAAAAGTTATAATTTAAATTCCTGTACAGGTATTTTCGAATATTAGCCTCATGCGGAGAACACTATTGCGTATCCTCTCTTACAGATTACAATGACCCGTGAGCGTCAGGTCAATTAGCATGCCATTTTTATATGGCTGGGTCGTACTTGCAAGTGAGTACCACTGATAATTATGTGAATGACACGCCTTACATTAATCACCACCACCTTGTCATGCGCCATACGGCAAGTCGCTTGTGGTACTCGTATTTCCTGTACATCAACACCCACTGAATGGTAATGTGATGAGTACTGCTTATTGTATGCAAGAAGACTGGGGAAGAAACAGAAATGAGATATCGAAATACAGAAAGTGTAGATCCATAAAAATGAGAATAATCACGGTCAAATTTCTCAGAAATAGAAGAATGTGATGAAAATTACATTTTGATAGATAAATAGGTTACCTGTAGCCCTTTTCAGGATGATGTAATTTATCATCGATCTTCGCTCGCGTATTGGAAAAATGGGGTCTAGTAGGTTGACTGTGTATTTCGTGTACGTGTAATTTTCGAAATTTCCAAAATTTCACAAATATTTCAAAATTCTAAACATTAAAAAAATTTACATATCTTTAAACTTATAAAAGATTGAGGATTTTAGAGGTTTTAAAAACTCAAAATATTAAAAAAAATTAAATTTAAGAACCTTTAAAAATTTTAAAAACTTTTGAACTTTAAAACATTAAAATCTAAAGAAATTAAAACAAATTAAAGATTTTCAAAGTTCTCAAATTAAAAAAATATAACAAAAATCTTTAATTTTCTGAATTTTGAAAACTTAAAAGTTAATAAAACTTTTGAGTCTTTAGTTTTAAAATGTGCCAAATTTGTAGTTATTCTAGTTTTGTAAATTTCCTAAATTTTGAGCACTTGTGATAACTAACGCTGAATACAAATTAATGTTAAACGTTTCCTTGAACATTCCTCCTTAATTTCCGAGAACAGATCATCCCTGAAACGACACTCGTTGTTCAAAAAAGGTCATTTAATGTGACCTCAGCCAGACATTCATCATTCTGCCAATTTAGTTGGACCAAAAGTGAAGCCCACAATATCAGAACACAGAACATATGTTGAAGCTCAGTAGAGAATTGGCTTCTAGCTAAGAAACCGGTCACTTAGCTAAGTAGCCCTACTTATCCTAACGCCCTAGAGGCGTACAGCGCAACTCATTACCAGTTCAGTGCCACCTGAGTTGTCGAGTTGGGTTGTTTCGTTTCGCTGTAGTCATTGTTTTTGCTAGAGCTATTTCGTGCTTGTTTCGCTTTTTACGGTGGCAAGCTTCAGTGAGCAACGTACAGCTGTGAAATTTTGCTTTATAATTGGTAAAAATGCTGCTGAAACTGTTTTAATGTTGAAAATAGCTTACAAAGATGATGCTATGGGAAAAACTCAGATGTCCGAGTGGTTTGCTCGATTTAAAAGAAGCGACATGTCGATTGATGACACATCTCGCTCTGGACGTAAATCAACTACCCGAATCGACGACAATGTGGAAAAAATCCAAGAGCTTGTGCCAATCGATCAACTATCCGTAAGTAGTGGGTTGTCCTGGAATTCGGTTCAGCGAATTTTAACAGAAGATTTGGGAATGAAAAGGGTTGCCGCCAAGTTTGTTCCTCGGGCTCTGACTGACAATCAAAAAGAACACCGAGATCAAACATGTCGTGCTTTGAAACCACATATTGAATCTGATCCAAATTTGCTGTCAAAGATCATCACTGGTAATGAGACTTGGTGCTATGGTTGTGACCCAGAAACGAAGCAACAGTCAAGTCAATGGAAGACGTCATCACAACCCGTCAAATAATGTCAAGTCAAATCAATCATCAAAACAATGCTGATTTATTTTTTTGATGTCAAAGGCGTAGTCCATTTCGAGTTTGTTCCCCCAGGTCACAGTGTCAATCAGACCTCTTATTTCTAGGTTTTAAGACGATTGCGAAACAGTGTTCATCAAAAAAGACCTGATTTGTGGCAGTCAGGAGACTGGTTCTTCCACCACGATAATGCACCTGCGCACACAGCCATATCTGCTCGACAGTTTCTGGCTGAAAATGGCATGGTTCCGCTGCCTTACGCACCTTATTCGCCTGACCTGGCTCCGTGCGACTTTTTCTTATTTCCACGGATGAAAAGGGGCATTATGACTTGTGTGTAGGTGCACGCCCTTTTTGTATAGGGGAACGGAGGGTATTACCGAACGGCGTCTAATTTCGTACAGTCAAGTTTGAAAGGAATGAAACGTCAGAAAGCTACCGTTCCTTGTTGCACACGTCGGGTTTGTTGGGTTAACTGTCACAACAACCGTTCGCGCCATTCTGTGTTCAAACATGGCGGCGAGAGCATGATCTGTGTTTTTGCGATCGTGGATATAATATTTTACCTTCGAAAACTTAATTGCAAGTACTTTAATATGTGTATACGTGTTGTTTTTATTGTTAAAATTGTTGAACAATATTGTTTTTTAATGAAATAAGTTGTTTTCGTTGTAATACTATCATCCGCTTTCGCATGATTCTGCTTAAACATGGAGGATAGTATGTCGGCAAAGTGCGTACACTTGTACGGTATTTGCCGCCTCGAAATAATCAGTTCACGAAAAATATTAAAATTGTTTTTGAAATTGTCCCAGTACATAATTGTATCATTTTGACCCTCAGGTCTTTGATATTAGGAAATAAAAACTTTATTTACAGATGGAGCCTAAAAAGAAGTGCTCTTGGTCGTCCAGAAAAATGAAAAGTGCAATAAGGGACATTCGTGGTGGAGCAAAGTTGAGGCCGACAGCTGCTTTGTATGGTATTCCTGTTATGACATTATCTGATTACTCAAAAAGGGACAGCTATGATCTTTCATTTCGCATGGGAAGAAAACCCGTTTTCTCTCGTGAACAGGAGACAGAAATTAGAGATCAAATATTACTTCTGGCAAGTATGTTTTATGGATTGACGCCACAATCATTGAAAGCAGCAGTTTTTACATATGCGGAGTCTAACAAAATTAAAAATCCTTTCAATAAAGATAAAAAAGAAGCTGGTAAAGACTGGATGAATGGGTTTTTAAAAAGGAATCCTGAAATAAGCATCAGACGCCCGGAACCTACCAGCGTAAATAGAATTCTTGCCTTTAATGCCACAGAGGTACAGACATTCTTTGATAATCTGTCATCAACATACGACAAATATAGATTTCGTCATCATAGAATATTTAATGTTGATGAAACAGGCATCAACGCTGTTCACAAACCAGGTAAAATACTTGCTCCTAAAGGGATTAAGCAAGTAGGATCTGCCACAAGTTGGGAGCGTGGGAAGAATATTACTATTTGTTGCTGCATTAGCGCAACTGGCCAGTATGTTCCACCAGTCAGGGTGGATGACTGAAGAATTGTTCTATGCATGGCTAGTGCATTTTGCGGAACATACAAAACCCTCACTGGAAGACCCGGTATTATTGATCCTAGATAATCACAGTAGTCATATTTCTGTGAGAATTTACGATTTTTGTCGCCAAAATGGCATTATTATGTTGACAATACCGCGTCATACGTCGCACAGGACCCTACCCCTGGATATTACAGTTTACAGTCCCTTGAAAACAGCTTTACATAAAGAATGTGATGCCTATATGAAACTCCATCAATATGAGAAACTAACGCCACTGCAATTGATTCCACTGTTCACTCAAGCGTATTTGAATGTAGCTAATGCAGAAAAAGCACTTAGTGGTTTCCGAGCATCAGGCATTTGGCCCTTCAATCCAAACGTTTTCAGTCAATTGATACAAGAAGGAAATGATAACGCTTCTGACAGGATTTCCGCAGAACAGGCTATTGTAGATATAAGGATGGAGTCTGAAAATGTGGAAGCATCATCTGCTTTACTAGACATTCCGATGGATTTTAATGAGAGGTCATATTTAGTACCTACAAATACAGAACCAAATGAATCCGCTGATGACTCACGCCCTTCAACATCAGGAATTCAAAATTCGTTACTTTCTGAAAATCCAGAACCAGAGATAGCTCATAATTCACTTCCGTCAAAATCTGCAACTCAGACAGAAATTGAGCATGCCAAACGACAACTTTTTGTGACTCCTGTGGGAAATAAAACACCTGAACACGTAATACCTTTTAGTGAAATATCACCAGCTCCTGAAAAGTAACACATTTCAAAAGGGAAAGGTATAGGTAAACGGACCAAACAACAATCAAAATTACTTACTTCGACGCCTATGAAATCTGTTTTAGAAAAAATTGAGGAAAAACGAGTCGCCAAAAAGAAGAAACTAGAGGAACACTCTGAGACTATGACAAAAAAAATTAAAAAGAGGAAAAATAAAAAAAGTTTTAAAAAACAAATGATAAAGGAGAGTTCATCATCTTCTGATGAAGATCTACATGTTCTATGTGATGATGAAGAAGAGTTAGATGATGATTTTTCTGAAGGAAGGGGAGGTGAGACAGGTGTCGAGGAACTATGCGTTATTTGTGGTGATTTCGGGAAGGATAACGAATTGTGGTACAGTGCGTCAGCTGTGGTAGCTGGTCGCACGCTTTATGTTCCGGATATGATTCTGCAGTTAATTATTTTTGTGGATTTTGTATGTAAAGACAGGAAAACGTTTATGATTTATATTAGAAGTTCATTACCGTTTATTTTGAGTTAAATATATTTCTGTTAAATTATGATTTTCAGTTTTTTTACGCTAATACACTAATGAAACGGATGGCATATACGAGGATGTGTGTACGAAATTAGACGACTACATGTACGACGTTACCCGCTTGATTCGGTTAATGCCGTACAAAGACTGCTTTCAATTGGAGTGCTCTATCTGGTATAATTGTGACTTTTATTTTCTGTCGTTAAGCATATATATAATAGGCCTAATTATTAGCAAATTCAAATCGATAATTATCTTTTTTGATGAATACTTGAGTAACAAGGACATTTTATAGTTATGTGTATGGCAATACCCTCCGTTCCCATACCTAAAGCTGAATAAACCAGCCTTTTAAAACAACTCCGAGTATTTTTGTCTATAAACCTGAAATACTCGTATCCAGTTACTTAGACTAATGACGTTCTATGGATCCGTCCATTTTCTATGTGGCTCAGGTGAACCTAGATTCTTAGAGGATGCAACTTAGTTTTCTAAAAGATTGCAACCAGCACCTACTAAGCTAGAAAGCCAGGAGAAATCAGTCAGTAAGAGAATAGGAAAGTAAACAATGTACTATAAAATAAATTCAATATTTTGTATGAAACACCCGTTAATATACTCAGTCACATTAGAAGTGTTACTCCCAAAAAAAAAAACATTTTCTTCAGCCTGCTTTTTTTGGCAACATAATGACTATATTTAAAGCATGATGTGGCAACAATGTCAACGTTTTATGTTTGTTTTTGTTTACCTTTGTTAAAATGTTATCTTTTAGATTTTGTGAAGAAAGCAGTTTATGAGAGCTGAGTAGTACAGATATTCTTAGTTAAGCATAACAAAAAGGCCTCGAGTTCGAAGACGTCCAAATTATCACCACGTTAGCGACTTTGCAAGGGTAGAATTATTGCCTATCGAGATGTTGGTTCGTCCTATCGCGAAATTGGCCGTTATGTTAATTGTACTGCAATGATGGCAATGCGTGTGTGTTGCGTGTGAACAGAAGAAGCTAGAGGAATAGGAAGAAGGCCAGCTGGTCTACCGAGGCGTACCACATAGCGTCAAGATAGGTGCTTCAGACAATAGGCCCTACGAGACCGTTTTGCTACTAAGCGTCAATGGTTTGGAAAAGAAGGTAGACCTGTTACTATGCGTACACTCTAATCCCTGCATTGGAGCCTTTGGATTTTCTTCATATCGTTCACGGTTAGTGCTTCCTCTGACAGTGGACCACTGTAGTCAACGTTTCAACTGGGGCAGAGAACGGCAACGTTGGGAGGCAGAATGGCATAGTATCATCTTCAGCGACGGATCGGGATTCTGTCTAGGTACCCGCGATGGGCGTAGAAGGGTAAGACGCCAAACGTGGAAGGTACACAAGACTGTTGGAGTATTGCCTATGGCTCCTCTTTGTTTAAAGCAATATGACTGCTGCACGTTATGTTGATGATGTTGTACAAACCACTTTACTGTCGTATCTGACTTTCCTCAATAAGCAGGTGTTAATGTTTTCCCGTGACCACCCAGTTCACCGAATTTAAATCCTATCGAACATGTGTGGTATATGTAAATATTCTTTAAAGTTGACCGTTTTTTGAGTGATAAGGAATTCAATGTCAGAAAGATCCTAAAAATGAGTCCTTTCAATACCCGAAAAACCGATCATTATTTTTGGGGTTGGCAGGTGTATAAAGTTCAGGCCTCCTTCTACAAGACCCTGACGAGTATTCTACGTGTAGTTTATCTTGAACCTCAGCTACCATTCATCCTAAAGCTATTGATTAAAAAATTATGATAAATATGGCCAATCGAAAAATCTGAAAACACTTTTCAGCTTCCTAAAACGGCCGCTATAGGACGTGGTTCTAACGTCAAAAAATAGAAATGCCGTTTTTTCATCAGTATTTATCATATAAATGTCTGAAGTAGCTTTATTGCCCAGCACACGGTATTTATGAACTTTTTTGTTAATATCATTTTTCGAAAGGTGATTTCCTTAGAATGGCTGGAGGAGTTATTTTAATTTCGGATTGGCTGGATAGTGTGTGCAAAATTACATGATATTCGATCTTAATTATGTGAAGCCCTTGTCGAAGAAAATAATCATACATATCGTAGTACCCTCGTTAGTTGTACCAAACCCCACGATTTCAAAGCGCACAAGCAGCGAAAGAAAGCGGCACCGCGCCAATTCCCCCTACCTTCCTTCCCTCTGGCCGCCTATAAACATTCATCTTCTCCAAAGCAAAGTTGTTGCAACAATTGGGTGGTACATAGGGAGAGAGGGAGCTATTTACCTCGACGAGGACTCCGCATAATTAAGATCGAACATCACTTACAGGTAAGTTCGATTGATCATGTAATTATGTTCCGTCCTCGTCGAAGTAAATATTTAGAATACATATCGTAGATGTTCAAAGCTAGTTGCAACGACATACTACTAACGTTCTGCAATAGTAAACGATAGGTTATACACAACTACACAAATTGTACGCAATGTATGTGTCAACTAAATGTACACTTCCATTGTAACAACTCAAGATCAGGCTTTTAGCAACAGGCAACATGACGTACCTGGTTCAAAAATTCCCATCCATTACATAATAATAAGTAAATAACGTAATAACATAGTTATGTCTAAGATGTGGAGACTTGGTTCACCTCAAATGGCGCTTGACCAAAGCTATTGTTTGGCATAAGAGATTTGTGACGTATCTCAGAAAACGTACTCCAGCCCGCCGCGAGCCTGACACTGCTATAATTTAGCAGGCGGAGAGGTAGGCGCATTTCATGTACTGTGGACTGTAAATTGTGACACTCTCTGCTAAAACCGACTTCATCCATCTGGGAGCAGAGGTACCATGATAAAGTTACTGTACAATGACAAATAAATACTTTGACTGCACAGATATTTGGGTGTAAAATACGGTAAAACTAAAAGTGATTGCCTCATGAGTGACCCCGAGACTTTCAAAAACTGAGAAATCCCAATTTCAATATTATTCAACCCAATCCGGATGTTTTCTGTTTCAATTAGTTTGCACACTCTGACCTGAGGATAGAACTAGTTGTGTTGCTGATTTCCTCATCCAAATACCTAAAGAGCTCACCAGCAACCCCTTTGGTTGTTTGTCAACAACCCCAGTATCTATATTTCAGTTGAGATGGCCTCAGCCTGTGCATGCCAGACATGTATTTCTTTCCGACAAAGGTCCTACCCTAGTCTAAGCTCATAATACGTGATGGATTATCGATGCTGATTGGAATGACAGCTGTCCAGTTACGATAACCAGGGTAAGCTTCAGAATTAGTGGCTTAGTGGGAGCGGCGTCCTGGGTCCTACATCAGATCCTTGCTTTACTTCTGGGAGTGAAATTTCAGACACACCGATTACTAGAACAAAAATCAGGACGGTGACAGGTGCAGCTGCCACTCCGTTTCCACGTCCCACTGACGCAAAAGCTCATCTGTACCAGTATTACTCCTAGATCTTATATTTGACGCGAGGGCAGTAAGATTTCTCTCTTTACATAATTGCCATAGTTTTCCCGCAACCTGGTCCAGACGTGGAAACTAGAAGCTCTCCATTTATTGATAGGAGGATGGGTATAATATGCGACAGCCCATCAATTCGGTAGCAAAGCATTCACCACAGAAGAAAACTACCAGTGGTTCTTGATGATTAGCATGCGGGATCTTCTTCTCCGGAGACCAAAAACTATGAGACTTTTCCCTGGCCAACGATTGTCCCAGTCCGAGAAATTATACAACCAAAAATTGGATAATTCAATATCTCTGACCGCATATGGCAGTTTCTTTGAGCCCCAGCCGAGGTAGACCTTAAGTTATATTATCTTAGTGGCATCAGACTTGGGGGCAAGAAAAAGTTGAATAGGTCCTGATTTTTAGTTAGCTCAACTTTTTTACTGATAGCACCGCAGGTAAGCAATTGAGAGACTGTCGAAAATCGGTAGTTCATAGATGGACTAATTAATGTTAATCGGCCATAGTGATATTTAACCTCCGTTATTACTGAATATTAGAATTTTGGTGGTTTCCTAACCGGTCATGTTCATACGTAGAGTCCTGTTCCATAGTTATCACCAAACCACGTGGAAAATGTACGCTAGTCTCGCATAGATGTACCTAATCTCTGTCGTCCATTAATCAAAAATGGTACTTCGGTCTCTTTTTAACTTCTCATGTGCATCCTTACAATATTGTTCTATAGTTAACACAAACCAGATGGAATTTGCTATCCCAAGCAAAATGTACCGGTATCTCACATAGATGTACCCAATTTTAATCCGTTATAAATGAAAAATTTTATATTGCTACATTACTATCACAAACCAGATGGAATCTCCTATTCCAAGAAATGTACCGCTAGTCTCTCATAGTTGTACACAATTTTTATCTGTTATAAATGAAACATGCTGCTCGTATATTGCTACATCGCTATATTGCTATCACAAACCAGATGGAATTTGCTATCTCAGACAAAATGTAATGCTAGTCTCGCACAGATGAACCTAATCTCTACTTGTTATTAATGAAAAATGGTGCTTCGGCGGTTTCGTAAACTGTCTTGTGCAATCTTATTATGCTGTTCCAAGGTTATCACAAACCAGATGGAACTTGCCATCACAAGCAAAATGTAACTCTAACCTCGCATAAGATACCTAATCTCTATCTGGTAATAAGGAAAAAATATATCTTAACGACTTCCTAACCTACCATGTTCAAACTTACAGTCCTATTCCATGGTTATCACAAACCAGACGAAATTTGCTATCACAAGCAATTGAGAAGAGACTGTTGACCATACTTTATTGCTACGTTGTCCCAAACGCTTTCAGTGTTGTTATTTGTGCAACGGAGTTCAGTATTGAGTCATTATCCCAAACATCTTTATTCGTCCTTGGTGTGGAGCTGACTATCCCAACCAAGCCCACGTTGCTATCCCAAGCAACCGAGTCTAATATTTCAGCGTTATCTCAAACGTC